ACAAAATATCATGTCAGTTTCTTTTTTAATTACAAACCAAGAATTGGGATGATTTTTTTTTCTAATCATCAGTATATCAGAAACCAGAACTATTCTAAAATTTAACATTATGTCTGTATAATATGCGTACATTATGAAAAACTTCAAATCTCTACTTTGTCAAAAGAATACCATCCAAGGTACTCTCTCTAGGAGCCAAATGTGTTTCTGTTACTACAATAAAATTATTTTTTTATTAACATCTAAAATTCTATCAGATTTGGGGAGTTTATATCCCTCTGCTTTTTGCTTATTTTATTTAGGTGGGAAAGGAGTTTTAAAATTTGAGTCACAAACAAGAATACCAGTTTAGCTTCTAACTTTCATTTTCTCAGAGGAACATTTGCAAAGAATGTGCAATACTGTTTCCTCCAATCCTTTGACTGGGCACTTCCTGCAAAACTTCAACAGGTCAGAGAGCACAGGGATTCAAAAGCAATAAGTAAAGCACATTTTTAATGCTCAAATAATCTATTATACATTAAAGCCTTCAGTAGCAGAAAAATTCCTAAATCTCAAAGGCCACTATGAGTTAAATAATTTTTAACCAGTTAATTTTTAACTAAAACTAGAACACTGACTTTTGTCTTATGGAAATATTTTTCATACCCCAAATTATTCTGACTCCACACAGGTATAGTGAATTGCACTATTTATTTCCCCTGCTTTCAAATGATTAAAAAAAAAAAAAAAAGGTGTAAGCTAATTAGAAGTGAATAAGTTTTTAATATTTTTCTCCAAAGTTGAAAATGACTTTAATTTGAATATTTGGTTTTGAAACTATACATGAACATGCATGGGTAAAAATGTATTTGAAAATATGCTAGTGTACACAAGAAATTCTTAACCACCATAAACTATGTTTAAGCAAGTTTGGAACGTTTCATACCGCCTTTTACCGCTTTTATTTGTTGACGAACCAACAATGTTTGGCATAATTAACGCTAAGATCTTCAAAACTCAATGGCTGAAAATAATTGCTTCTCTTTTCTTTCCTGAGTACTCTGAAGCCCAACCTAAAGATTTAGAGCTGACTGGACAAATATAAAGGATGTCAAAAACAGTGACCGCTGACATGCCATTCAAGGCACATGGAAGAGAGTTCAGGCTTGAATGCTTCTAAACTGCTCATTGGTAAGATCAGCTATCAGTGAGACGCAGTATAAGTCAGCATTATTCACTGAGCCTGCTATGACCTTAAAATCATTGCTCCTGGGGCATGTTCATCCACCAATTAGTTTATATGCTCACTAGAAATCCACTGCTCAGTAAATGCACTGGTCTCTCATTCCACAGTGTTGATGAAGTGTGTGTGATGGCTTTCTCTTCACAACTTGACCCCAAAAGCTGACCTATCTCAAGCTGGAGCATTCAAGTCACTTGAGCACCCCTTGGTTATCATGGATTTTGATACTTTACTTAAAAAACAACCACAGTTTAACTGATTGGACAAACACAAATGTTACCGTGACTATGAAATGCCATATGCAGAACAAAATAAAAATTGGAACTGAATTTTCCAGTCGTAGTCACAAAGTGTAAAGTCAAACACTCGCTAATACTTTTGACAGAAGAAACAGCTTTGCTGTTTTTAAACAATTATAATTAGCACAACTCTGCCAAATCCTACCTTTTCTAAAATTTTGAAAATATTCACCTTTTGGGCAGGGTAAAATCCAATGAATAAAAGGAGACATATTTGAAAAATACTTTTAAGATGATAAGACAGGATAAAAGATTAGATCTAAAAATGAGAAAAAAAAAAAAGAAAAAATCTCCAAGTTTTCTAAATATCAACATACAAAAACTGAGGGTACAGGAAAAAATTAGATATTTAAGAAGGGAACTAACTAGTGGTGGGTAACACATGGAAAAATGTCCTGAACATAATTATAAACATTTAAACAAAAGATCTGGGATGGGAGTTCTATGAGCACAGAGGCTGTTAGTTGAATAACATGTATGGGTTTCTTTTCAAATAACTTGACGATAGAGCTTGGGGACAAAACTGTCCTGATTTTTCCCCTTTGGGTTCCCACAGGAGAAGGAGATGTTCCCCTATTCTTTCCACAAAGGAAGCAAGAAACTAAGGGGTCAGCCTTGAACTCACTTCCAACCTGCTTCTTGGAAAATGATCCAATTGAGGTGTTTGGTCTTTTTTTTTTTTTTTTTTTTTTAGCAGCTTTATTTAGGTATAATTTACAGGTCACAAAATTTCATCTATTTGAAATGTACAACTCAATGGTTTATCATGAATACATGATTTACAGAGTTGTCCATCTGTTGACACAATTTTAGAATGTTTTCATGACTCCAAAAAGAAACCCTGTGTTGTTTAGCATTCATTCCCTGGTCCCTGCTAGAGGCAACTCCTAATCTACTTTCTGTCTCTATAGATTTACCTGTCCTGCACAGTTCATATAAATGGCATCATGTAATACGTAGGCTTTTGTGCTGGCTTCTTACACTCAGCAAAGGGTTTTCAAGGTTCATTCATACTATACCATGTATCAATAATTTGCTCCCTTTTATTGTTGAAAAATATTGCATTTAATATTTATGGCACAATTTGTTTATGCATTTGCAACTAGGTCTTAGGGGCGCCTGGAAGGCTCAGTCGGATAAGCGTCTGACCGGCTCAGGTCATGATCTCACGGCTCCTGAGTTTGAGCCTCGCATCGGGCTTTGTGCTGACAGATCTGAGCCTGGAGCCTGCTTTGGATTCTGTCTCCATCTCTCTTTGCCCCTTCCCTGCTCATGCTCTCTCTCTCTCTCTCTCTCTCTCTCTCAAAAATAAATAAACACTAAAAACATTCATAAAAACAATTGGGTCTTATAGCAACGTAAAACAATGCCTGAGAACAATAGTTTGTAACATATGCTTATAGATAATTAGTGAAAAATCACCTTACAGATGTGAATTACGTGTTAGTTATTTGTGCATTTTCAGTTGGGTGAAGTTGATTGACTTGCAGAATTAGCAACATCGATTTTATAAGATATAAACCATGAAATTGCTAAACTTCAATAACACCAAAAATTAATCACTCTGAAAAGGTGGTGAAAATATTCAGAGAATAATATTTAATCACTTAAATTAAATATAGGCATGCCTCATGACCCAGCATCCTACTCCTGAGTATAGAGCCCAAAGAAATTCTCACACAGCATCATTGACTGTGGTAGAGAATTGCAGGCAATCTAGGGAGTGGACAGGCAAAACATGGTAGATGCTTATCATGAAATACCATGTACTTACCAGAGGCAACAAGCTGGATGAATATGTAGCAATGAGCAATAATGTTAAATGAAAATAACTGAGAAACAAAATATAATCTCGAGCATAATACCCATTATATAAATTCACAATACACAAGCCAATCAACAGAATGCGTCTTATAAGAATACACTGAAACAAACATGAATAAAAAAAAAAGAAAACGGCCATGCAGGACCCATGATGACAGTGTGTCACAAACTGAAAAGTGTAAGTTACTCAACACTTTGTATCTAGGGTCACAGTAAAAAAAATTGGGGGTATTATTTTTCAAAAATATTTGCTGTCCCTACCTGGTAAAGATTATACTTTTCCACACTATTAACAACAAGCTTGGCTATATAAATTGCTCTAGGCAATAAGTTGTGAAAACAAGTGTCTGAGGCCCAGCACAGCATTCATTGTGTCTCTTTTCTATCTCCGACAATTGTTCTGGAATTTGCTTCATCATCCTAGGTCCCAGATTGAAGGCAATATGGACCAGAGCCACAATAAACCCAAGATAAACATGCACACGAAAGAAACTTTGGTGTTTTAAGCCACTGAAATTAGGTAATAGGCTATTTGTTATTCCAGCACAACCCATCCCATTATGACTGATACATTCACATATATCTACATGATCATTACATCTCGTCTAAGCTTATTTATCCAAAATCACTGCATGGTGCTAATGTTATGGATATAGGTTGGAGGGACAGAAATACAGCCCTTACCTCTAGAGGTTTTAGAAAAGAGATAAAACAAGAGGAGAATAAGAGAAATCAATTACTCTAGTGAAAAGCACACTCTATGAGTTATAAAATGTGGGTTTTAATCCTACTCTTCCCATGTATTATTCAAATGCCTTAAGCCAAATCTCTTAACCTCTCTGAATCTCAGTTTCCTTATATGAAAATTAAGGAAGGGTGTATTCTAACCCCCAAGGTTTTTCTAATTCTGAGGCTCCACGTTTCTGTAATAAAGCAATATTTTAGAGGGGTCATATATCCACTAAATAAAAACAGAACTTTACATGAAGGTAAATTAAAATTCTTTACTCTTGTCTTAAATGGTATGCCACACCAAAATTTTATTCACTTGTCAGGAATATGAGTTACACTAAAGAAAGAACATTTGGGTAACCAAGTATAGACACTGCCTTCATAAATGCTAAAATGAAAAAGGAATAAGCAGAGGCCCAGATGTGGGAATTATTCATATGCATGACAATAAAAGCAAAGACACAGGTGTGGCCATAATTCCTTGCGTTATAATGAAGAATGGCAGAAGATAAGCCTTAGGGCAAAGACTGATTGATGAAAGGTCTCGATCTGGACCAAAAGCATGCAGGGTACACAAGAGGTGGAAAACAGAGGTGGAAGGAGGCCACTGGGTCTGAACTTAGGTTGTTGAAGTAAATGAGAATATTAGGGAAAGAACAAATCCAGGAGACTCTGAGAATAAATCACCACCGAACCTGACATAATTGACATTCGAAAAATACTCGTTGACTGGATACAGATCCTGCAACTTCCAGCGAAGAAATTTTAGGGGCACCTGGGTGGCTCAGGTGGTTAAGCATCCGACTCTTGATTTCGGCTCATGTCATGATCTTGTGATTCATGCGTTCAAGCCCCGCACAGGGCCTGCGCTGGAAGTTTGGGATTCTCTGTCTCCCTCTCTCCCTGCCCCTCCCCTGCTCACACTCTCTCCCTCTCAAAAATAAATAAACATTAAAAAAAAAAAAAAGAAATTTTACTTTTCCGAAATATGTCCACACCAAACACAATGACCAATTTATTTGATGAATCATATTACCAAGACCCTTTCTCTTCCAGTAAACATCACCTCCCATAAGATTAAGACCCCAAATAAATCATTTCGGGATTTTTCTACCACCAGACGAAGAACAGAGTGTGTGAGAAACAAGCTACTTAATGCCTCATGTGCCTTATCATGCCTGCCTACCCATGTCTCACGCCATCCCTAACCCTAGCCCATAACTGTCATGCTAATTACACACCAAGCTTAGCAGCCTCGTAACACACTTACATGTATAGCTTCTTGGGAATAAGGGAGAAATTCTGCTTAAAGGAAAAGCAATCTATGCATGTTAAGCTCTTATTCACAGTTCAGCAAATGAATTCTGGCCTCAAAATTACAAGTAATAATGGGCAGTCTGTTATCATTTCTTTCTTTAGTGTCTTCATCATCATCCAGGTATCTCTGGCTTTAGGGTTAGTCATGTTTCAATCAGTCTACTCTTACCACGATGCTATGTCCTTCCCTGCCTCTAGCCATTACTGATTTCTCTCATTCCTAACATACGTAGCCTTTGTTTGGAAGATTTTACATTTGATGGTCATCAGTTTAGCATTTAATATTTTTTGTTTGTTTGTTTTAGGTTAAATAGTGAGTATACAATGGCTACTTGGGCACATGGAGGGCAAGGAATGTCTTTCTCAGACAGATTACAAAAGTTCTACGAAAGAACACAAGTTATAGGAGTGAGAGAGGATTCAGAGTATCCTAACACTTCAAAAAGAAAAAAAATCAGTGAATGGGACTAATAACATAGACTTAGTTCTAATCAGCATCTTTAAATTCATAGTAGCATTTGACTTATAATAGTGCTCTGCGTATTTTACCTTTGCCTTCCTGGGGCAGATATTATTAATTTTGTTGATGTTATTGTTATTATTATTATTAGGCAAGAGAACATAGGGGTTAAAAGATCCTCTAAGCCACACCTTCAGAGATAACTGCAGGCCCACCTGACATCTTGATTTCAATCTCTGATACCCTTGACCACACAGTTTAGCTCTCTTGAATTACTGACCCCCAAAATTTGTGAGATAATACATTTTTATTTTTGTTTTAAGCCACTGGATTTTGAGGTAATTTGTCATGCAGCATCAGCTAATTAATATCCTGCACCCCACAATGTACCCTTCTTTCTCACTGGCCAGAATCTATCACAAGGTCACCCACCCAAGGGAGTGCAGATAGTATTTTCACTGGGCACATTCCTGCCCTAAAAAAAAAAAAAAAAAAAAAAATCTAAGTTCCCAGGGCACCTGGGTGGCTCAGCTGGTGAAGCATCCAACTCTAGATTTCATAATGATCTTATGGTTCAAGAGTTAGAGCCCCACATCAAGCTCTGCACTGACAGTGTAGAGCCTACTTGGGATTCATTCTCTCTCTCTCTCTCTCTCTTTCTCTCTCTCTCTCCCTCTCTTTCCCCCCCCCCCCCCACTTTCCCCTCACTCTCTCAAAACAAGTAAACTTAAAAAAAATCCTGAAAAAAAATCTAAGTTCTGGTTCTGTTATTAAGGAAGAAGGTAAAGGCAATGGACAATAGGCAGGCAGCGGTTCACCTTCTACTTCAATTCAGTCTTCTCCTGGAAGAAAAAAATCAGTCTTCAGAAAGGAAGGGAAAGATGAGCAACATAAAAAAGAAAACACAGGCCAGAATAGGTGAGGAAACAACAGAATATCTAGTAGCTGCCTTAGGAGGGTTTGAATCTCCAGAAAAAGCAATCTGTATTTCACCATACTAAGTAAGTTTAAAACTGGTATCTATAATCTGCTGTCAGGAATCACACTGAGGAATCATGACAAATGACTGAAAAGAAGGAAACGGGAATGGATGTGCTGTTTTGATTTCCTGGGAAAGATAAATAAGTACACATAAAAAAATAAGTACACAAACTTGAACAGTAGTTTGACATCCATGATAAAATTCTGTAACTGACTTAACTACGTAGTTTATATATGTTTAGCAAATGACGCCATGTTCAAGAGTAGACCAAAACACATGCTAAGAACATGTGGGAGTGTCAGAATGCTCTTTCTTGCCCCCAAGCTTGCCCTTGACTTTTCAATATTTTTAGCAGTGACTTAAGACACAAAAGGGATGCCTATCAAATGCTCATGTGACACATCTGGGAATGATACATATAATAACAGAATCAAAATTTTAAATGATCCTGACAGCTTATAATACTGTCATTCATACATCCAACAATTCTAAGAAGTTATTTCACAGATTTCATTTTCGTCTCCTCACAAAAGATACTAAATTCGTCGGGGGCAGGACTGAATCACACACTTTTTTCAAAACCTCCTATGGTATCCATCACAGTGTTGGGAACACAGAAGGTATTTCATTGATGTTTAGGGACTTGAGTTGAACTGTACCAAGTACAAATGTAGAAAAGTTTAGAATAAATCTGTCATCTGGGCAACATAACATCCTCTTGTTTTTCCCTCACACCACATCACTTATCTCCTTCACAAAGACCTCTTCAAAATCAAATTTTTCCAGCACACCCTTCCTGAGCCGCCTTCAGCCCTTTAAAGAAAGACTGCACTGGAAAAAAACTTCGGGGCTATTTCAAAGCCTTGTTACTTTTTTCCTTCTTTATTATTTGTTTCAGTATTATACCCGGTCTGTGCCGTTAGACTTCAAGCTAGACTTCAAGCTGCTTCCATGTGTTTTAAAGCCTTTCCCGTACATATGGAGTGAGAATAGACGCACACCCCCTTTGCAGAGCAGCACAACATAACATTTTCTTGTTACAATTCAATATCATTGCAGCAAGATAAGCACACCCCATAGTCTCATTTAACAGACATGAAGAAGTCAAGCTCTATTGTTCAATGTCACAGCCAGCCAGCCCTGCATGATCAACCTTTATTCTTTTCTGGCTTCATTATGAGGATGATGCCTTTCAACTGTGGTGACTAAATCTGTTAAACTACAAAGCAAGAAATTTATAGAACCTTTATACGAGTAATACTGAACAGCTTAAATGTAAAACCTACAATTAAATTCCAAAACTAAGCACTTCACCCCCAAGAAAATGCTAAGTAGTTCTTCAGCAACATTCCTGATTTACATACCCCCAAGATGACAGCAGTTATATACATACATGCTGCAGCGATATTAATAGTAATTTTTTCAAGTAATGTTCAATATAAAACATGGTAATATTAACCCATGCGTTACAAAACTAATAAATTGCCCCCTGGCATACCAGGGACGGGAAGGGTGCTTTTTCATTTTCGAAAAGCTTCCTTTTGTCAGATGAAAAGCCCCAAGAGTAAAATATTTCAGTATAGTTCTGTGATAACAATGGATATGCCATTAGATTACCATACAAGTGAATAAAGCACCAAATGATAGCGAACATTTTTTCACACTTTAGATTTTGATGGGAAATGAGTCTAATTATTTATTCATAGACTTTTCCTCTAAGGAATTCAAGGCACTATATTTTAAACCTTCCAACACATATTTCCTAAGAGCTAAAATCTAGCAGGTAGGACAGAAGAACACGTGGCACGGAAGAAGATACAGAAAAGCAGCACAAAAGAAAAGGGAGTTGGAAGAACTCAAGCATGTCTGAAACCTGAGGTGGTAGATTTTATTCATTCTTCTCTTCTTTCAGTCATTCAGACATTTATTGAGCACCTATTTTAAGTCTAGGTCTGTGCTAAACGTTAAGGATATAACCTTACCCCGCCCCAGCTACAGACGCTCTCCAGACAGAGGCACGACACACACACAGTGATAATGACAATGGGCGCTAAGTCCTGGGACAGAAGGATGAAGTAAGTACTGTCGACGTACAAGGGAAGGAACCCCTGGCCTGAAGGAATTTGGAAAGGCAAGTAGGCAGCATTTCAACTGTACCTAGAAAAGAGTAGTAAAGTCTGTCAGCAAATTGAGAAGAGCATCGTCAAGGCAGAGGTAATATCACACTGAAACACAAGCTGTCATCAAAAAGTGTGGCCCTCATCAGAAAGTTGAGAAATACAACATGGCTTATAGGCAAGAGATGACCTGGAGATGTCATTTCTAGATGTGCCTAGAAATCACAGGCTTCAACTCTGTACTAGGAATAGACTGTAAGAACGCCGTAATCGTGAAAACCTTGGCGCTAATCAAAGAAAAGTGAACTGATCTAAACCACACATATATATAGTTATACATTATATTAAAATACATGATTTTATTACATACATATTTATATGTGTATATGTATTATATGTATTGGTTATATATGTGCGTGTCATATATAGTTTTAAGTATATATTTGTTTTATATATATAGACCCAATGTGTGTATACACACACACACACACACACACACACACACATACATGTAACAAATATATGCATTCATATACACACACACATACATGCAGCTCTATGGGAATTATAACCTATGCTATTGGGCTTCCGATCCATGCTCCGCTAGGGTCACTGAAGCTATTGTAAGGCAATTGGGAGAGCTGGGTCACATACACCTTATCCCTCATTCACCTCATCTACACAGCTCCTTCTTCTCTTAAATTCAAGTCTCTCAAGTGAAGATGAATATCCAGGCCAGACTCTGCTGACGTTCTTTATCCCCAAGCTGCTACCAGCATGTCCATCCAGAAACAAGGACACTACCTGCTTCCCAAGGGCCAGCTTTGAAGGCCAGCCCAACATCTTTTCTTTAAAGTGCTATGGGGCGGCCTCTTTTGCTTCCTCATCAATCCTATATATATATATATATATAGTTGCCCACAGAAGGTGCTGAAAGAAAGGGGGAAAAAACAACTGTCTTAGAGGTCTACATAAAGAGAATACTTTCCTTCCCTTTATATCATTTCAAATATAAAGACTCCCATATCAAAATGCACAGAAAACAGTGGCATATAGAATAGACATAAAAAGGCAAGAATGAGGTGCAGCTGTCACCTTCTGCAGTAAAACTAGTTGGTATAAGGAAATATATACGTACAGAGTTAGAAGGCAGAAGGCCTAGCACTAAATTTGAGTTATCTCTATAACAATTCACTAAAATTAAAAGGTATACAAAGGCATTATATTGCTCACTCTGTGTTGGGTTAAAGGCACAAAAAAAGAGAGAGGGGGAGAGAGAGAGAGAGAGAGAGAGAGAGAGAGAGAGAAGAAGAAGAAGAAGAAGAAGAAGAAGAAGAAAGCACAAGAAATGGGTTAACCAGACAACTTGCCTTTTTTATACAGTTAATCATCTATATTTACTGAACACACAAAATGACACCTACCATGGGGGAAAGCAAAGACAGAGTTTTAGTTCTCAAGAGTTTTCCAAAATCTTTTTTTTTAATTTTATTTATTTTGAGAGAGAGAGAGAGAGAGAGAAAGGGAGAGATGAGTGGGGCAGGGGCAGAGAGAGAGGGAGAGAGAGAATCCCAAGACCCAGTGGGGAGCTCAAACTCACAAACTGTGAGATCATGACCTGGGCTGAAGTCATGACGATGCTTAACCTACTGGGCCACCCAAGCGGCCCTCAAGACTTTTCTATTTGCAAGCTTAATGATACGGGCTGAGGATTAAGACCTCATTGTCATCATTGTGATCTAGCCTGGATCTTATCACCCAACAGCACTGATTTAGGTAAATTATTAGTCATAATTTAAAGGCCAAAGAATTGTCTGATCCTGAAAACTCATGATACAGAGAAAGAGTAACCCCTTGTTTTCCAGCAAGCCAAAAGGCCTGAACCTCAAGTATCCAGAAATCTCAGATCGAAAAAGAGACTTGAATATAAACATGCAAAGAGTCACAACACAAGAAAAGTGTCCTGATATGTAACAGGGAATAAACAAGCAAGGGAAAAAATCCTAACAAAGCAGGACCAAAGCACTACTTCAAAGGAGAGGACATGACCTAACAGATGAATCCCTGAGGTGCTGGCCAGGTAAGAACAAAGTGTAACGCTAATATTCATCTCATGACGTGGAATTCAAATTAGTGGAACGGGCAAGACTAACGTAAAATCGGCCATTTTGAGAACACAAGGGTGGGCTAAAAGATGTATAGATGTATACCCCCAACAAAAGAGAGATTCTGTGAAAAATAATGCCAAGATATTCAAAACGGACAATGAGAAAAAAATCAGAGAACAAAGGTTCTACGATTAGAATCAACACAAGTAGTATCAAATTGTCAGAATGTGAGATTCTTCTGTGAAAAACGAATGTCTTGGAAACAAGTGCTGCTTACCAGATCCTTCTGATAGACATGTATGATCCCTGCCCAATATAGTAGTCATTAGCCACATATGGCACTGAGCAAACGAAATGTGGCTAGTGGACTGAGGAAATGAATTTATAATTTAAGGTTTTAAATTTTTAATTAAGCTTAATTTTAAAAAGCTACGGGGTTAGTGGCTACCACACTGGGTAGTGCAATTTAAGCCTTAAAGAGTTGGGGGACGCCTGGGTGGTTCAGTCTGTTAAGCGTCCAACTCTTGATTGTGGCTCAGGTCATGGTTTCACGGTTCATGAGTTTGAGCCCCACACTGGGCTCTGTGCTGACAGTGCAAAGCCTGTTGGGATTCTCTCTCTCTCTCTCTCTCTCTCTCTCTCTCTCTCTCAAAATAAATCAATAAACTTAAAAAAAAAAAAAGACTTAAAGGAGTTTGTTGGTCCACCTGGCTGGCTCGGCTGGTAGAACATGTAACTCTTGATCTCACAGGGGGCGGAAAAGATTACTTAAAAAAAAAAAAAAAAGAGTATTGTTACAGATGTAACAGTGGAACAAGTACATGCTTTGAAATCAGACCTGGGTTTCAAATCCCAGCATTAATATTTACTAGCATTTACTAGCATTGTATCATGGGGCAATCTGAATGTCAGGTTCTTAATTCCAAAAAATAAGAATAATACTGTATTTTCTATTACTGCTACCAACACCCTCTCTATCCTTAGAAAAGGATAGCACAGGGGCACCTGGGTGGCTCAGTCGGTCGGGCGGCTGACTTCAGCTCAGGTCATGATCTCGCGGTCCGTGGGTTCGAGCCCCGCGTCGGGCTCTGTGCTGACAGCTCAGAGCCTGGAGCCTGTTTCAGATTCTGTGTCTCCCTCTCTCTGACCCTCCCTCGTTCATGCTCTGTCTCTCTCTGTCTCAAAAATAAGTAAATGTTAAAAAAAAATTTTTAGAAAAGGATAGCATAGTCTAGCTTTCAGAATCTTAAGATTTCCTTAAGGAAATCAGAAGCTGAACTATATACATGGGACCAGAGGATACACCATCCTAAGCCCTAGCTGAAACGAGTACATTTTGATGAGACCTATATAAGTCAAAAAACGTTTTCCATTCCCTCCCACATCAGCCCCTTCATCTCCAACCAGCCCCGCCCTGTACCATAAGAAGCCCTATCCCATGACATGGAGACATTATCAGAAAAAATGAGAATCTTGAACCTTGAACCTGCCAATGAGAACTTTGCCTCCAATCAAAAAATGTTTATTTCAGGGTTTTTATTCAGTAACTTCGTTGTTGATGCCTGACACCTCCTGACCTACGGTATTTAGGAAGACTGGAAAAGTTTTCAGACGGACCCAGTATGCTGACACCTCTTAAATCCAGACCAGAAGAGAGGGGAAACAACTAGAACCTATTCTACCAAGAAGTTTTTCTGTGACAAGGAGCCAAAAAGGAGGTGGGTGCCAGGGGACTAGAACAGTCGCTAGGATGGAAATCAGGTCAAGAGGGAATTATTTTTAACAAGGGAGGTACGATGGCATGTTTGTGTGCTGATGAGAATGATTCTATAGAGAAGGAGAAATAAGGATGTGGGAGAGAGATTAATTGCAGGATAAAGTCATTGGGATGATAAGAGGAGAAAGATCTAGGCATGCAAGAAAGAATGTACTCCAGCAAACTGTGCCCCAAAATGAGAGTTTTTAATGCTTTGATGACAGCTGATGGTGGTTTCAACTGGAGGCTCCAAAAGGCAGTTGGGAGAAAAAGATTGTGGCTTCAAGAACATGAACCAATTGGGCCAAACAAGTATACCTTTAACTATAGTTGTTTATTCAGCTCCTACCCCTTTGCTCGAGTTATCAGGCCAATGGAAAATAGCTACAACAACTTTTAAAAATTTGTTTTTAATGTTTATTTTTGAGAGAGAGTGAGAGACAGAGCATGAACGGGGGAGGGGCAGAGAGAGACAGAGACACAGAATCTGAAGCAGGCTCCAGGCTCTGAGCTGTCAGCACAGGGCCCCATGCAGGACTCGAACCCATGAGCTGTGAGATCATGACCTGAGCTGAAGTTGGATGCTCAACCGACTGAGCCACCCAGGTGCCCCTAGCTACAACAACTTTAAAACAATCTGTTGAATGAAACAATAGAAGGCTGCAACAGAATATTGTGAGGTTACAAAAACAAGGGCACCAACCAAGTTTAGGGAGGCACTGAGGGGATGTTGTTCAGTCTTCCTAGAAGGGGTAGTATCTGATCTGAGTTAGACAGGAGGTTTAGCTGGGGAGAAATAAGAAACAATCCCATGTAAAGGCAACAAATGAGGCAAAAAAAAAAAAAAAAATTGCATCTGAGTGGAATTTAATATTCCAGAAGTATAAAGTATAAAGCTAGATGTAAGAAATAAAACTGAAAACACAGGTAAGGTACATACCTTTAATACCATATTAGAAACCTAACTTTATGTCACAGTGTTTCTTAAACACAATTATTCTTTAAAAATAAAAAAAACCTTTAAAAATTTTGAGGGGCGCCTGAGTGGCTCAGTCAGTTAAACATCTGACTTCAGCCCAGGTCATGATCTCACGGTTTGTGAGTTCAAGCCCCGTATCGGACTCTTTGCTGACAGCTTAGAGCCTGGAGCCTTCTTTGGATCCTGTGTCTCCCTCTCCCTCTCTGCCCTACCCCACTTGTGCTCATACGTGCACACACACTCTCTCTATGAGATAAGCATTAAAAAAAAAATTTTTTTTAAAGAAAAGATTTGAAGATTACTCTAATTGTTCACTAAATTATTTTTGTAATTTTAATTATATATGTACAGACATAAATATTTATATTTATATTTATAGCTTTTATATAATCACAAAACCAAAACAAATTTACAAATTCAAGTTCAAGGCCATGTAATTTAAACCGAAGTCATCCATTTATTGTGATGGATAATGTTTTACTGAAACCAGATTTAATAGTAGGAAGATGTAAATCTAGTGTTATCTTTAATTTGAAACAATGTACAAATGAATGGTTACAAGGACAAACTTTGAAGCCAGGCTGCCTACATACAAATCTCAGCCTGCCATTTATTAGCTGAGTGGCCATGGACAAATTATTAAACCTGTCTATGCCTCAGTTTCCTCATGGGGCTAAAAGTACCTTCCTCATGGAGTTACTGCAAAGATAGTGTGAATTAATACATGTAAAAAACTTAGAACAAGGTAACAGTAAGCACTTAAATTTTAGCTATCGATATTTTTTACTTCAATAAAACCAGATATTGGTGGATATCTGGACCAGATGACATGAAAAAAAAAAAAAAAAAAAAGGCCCAGAAGTCCACAAAACCAGAAATTTGGAGAAGGCAGTAGTTCTCTGAATCCTATTTGGTTACGCCTCCTAACTGTATCAACTAACAATGATAAAGTAGATGAATCCGAAATACAATTTCAAGTAGGTCTTTTTTTTTTTAATGTTTATTATATTTGAGAGACAGAGTGTGAATGGGGGAGGGGCAGACACACACACACACACACACACACACAGAATCTGAAGCAGGCTCCAAGCTCTGAGCTGTCAACACGGAGCCTGACACGGGGCTCAAACTCACGAACAATGAGATCATGACCTGAGCTGAAGTCAGATGCTTAACCGACTGAACCACCCAGGCGCCCCAGGGTAGGTCAGTCTTTTAAAGTTTGATATGATGTACCGGGCTATACACTGCCATGAGTTGCACATGAACCACTATGTTGTCAAGTCCCAGAAAAACAAAACACAAAGAAAGATAAATGAGCTTTAAAAATTCTAGAGGTTTGCTTTAATAAACACTACCAAATATCACCATCACTCTGCCGCAACAACCTTGCATTTTGGATTTTGGATTTAGTTTTAATACAAAAACATGTGTGTACACACACACACACACAACACACACACACTTATATACATATTGGGTTGGGGAAATTTAAAGAGAAAGCATAACTTTAACCGCAAGTAATACCACTATTATCAAGGGCCATATTTTAAAACTTCATCCCATAAAAAATAATTACATAATGATATTTGAAATACTAAACTAACAAAGTCTGTATCTTGAATTTTAGAAACACTGGCTCATAAAAGCGTTGTACCTAAAAAATGCCCCAACAAATTAAAATATTGTTTTCCTAGAATCTACACTGTAAAACTGTGTGAACGAGTAGTACAATACAAAACTGGAAACAAACGACAGCTAATGACTTGGGTAGAAAAGCAGTTTTAGAGACAAAACCATTACAACCTTTTGCTGACATCTCATCTTTAACTAAACTCCTACTAATTTCTATATATTTTTTCCATTCTCCTTTTTCAGTTCTATTGTTCCTTTCTAACAAGTTGCCAAGATGCCATCTGGAACCGCTCCCTCTTCCCTTTCTCCCCACGTCTGGTTTCCTCTTTCACCAATTCTGTCACCTGTACTTTCTCAATCTCTGGAATCCACCCACGCATTTCTCCCCATGGCCACATCACCAGCCTCCTAATTGTTCTCCCTGCTTGCTCTCCTCCAGCCCATTCTTCATGCTGCAGCAAGAGTGAAAAATGTTTCTAAAGCACAGATTTGATCACACCACTCCGCTAGCTCCCTATTGCCTTCAGGATCAAGTTCATTCTCGTTGGCATTGGGTACAAAAGGCCTTTCACCATCTGGGTTTTCTCCTCTCTCCAGCCTCACCTTGTTTCTTCCCCAGAACTCATGAACTGTGAGATCATGACCTGAGCCGAAGTCAGACGCTTAACTGACTGAGCCACCCAGGTGCCCCAAACTCAGTTTGCTCTTAAAGTGGCTGTGAAGACTGAATGAGATGATGAATGTAAAGCATTTGGGATAGAACCTGGTACACGGTAAGTGCTCAGTAAACATCAGTTGAAAATCACCTGTATGTCAGACTTTGGCAGTTTAGTTTAGTGACTGAACTAGTCAAATCATTTAATATCCCCACTACTGTAAGACTGTATGTTTGGTCAATTGGGTATTACTTTTTTTAAAAAGGAAGGGCAATTTACAATAGCCAAATTATGGAAGCAGCCAAAGTGTCCATTGACTGATGAATGGATAATGAAGATGTGGTGTGTGTGTGTGTGTGTGTGTGTGTGTGTGTGTGTGTGTGTGTGTATAAAATGGAATATTTACTCAGTCATAAAAAAAGAATGAAATCTTGCCATTTGCAATGACGTGGATGGAGCTAGAGAGTATAATGCTAAGCAAAATAAGTCAGTCAGAGAAAGACAAACACCATTTGATTTCACTCGTATGTGGAATTTAAGAAACAAAACAAATGAACAAATGGGGAAAAAAGAGAGACACAACTAAGAAACAGTCTTAGCTATAGAGAACAAACTGATGGTTACTGGGGGGAGGTGGGTGGGAATGGGTGAAAAAGGTGATGGGTATTAAAGAGTTCACTTACTGTGATGACCACGGGGTAATATAAAGAATTGTTGAATCACTGTATTATATGCCTGAAACTAATAGAACACTGTATGTTAATTATACTGGAGTTAAAATACAAAAAAATAAAATTTTAAAAAATAAAAAGGACACGAAAATAGGAACAAAAAGCCAGCCTCACTACCTAAATAATGACTCAAAATTCTTGTCTCTATAATTTGATACTGTGTGTGTGTGTGTGTGTGTGTGTGTGTGTATCTTTTGTAAAGTCATTTAGGAGGATCTGTGGGAGTGGTTTTGTCCTGGTAGCCATCTGAGGGCTAGAGGAAAAGCTCTGAGAAGGCTACCCTCTAAAACGGAAGGACTAGAAGCCCACCGAGGCTACTGTGCCTCCTAGGCATCTATGACCTAGTCTGCTAAAAGATACAAATATCTCTTTCCCTTCACCATTTGACCAAAATAATACTAAATTTTTCAAAAGCAACATTACTAATGGCTTGAATAAAAACAAAGAAATTAGGAAAATATGGATACCAGGGAGTTGATTAAAACAAGTTTCCAAACAAAGGTTTGACAGCCCCAGGTCTACCGCCACTCCCCATGCCCCATCAGGAGGACAACTGTCCCCCAGGGACCCTGCCTAGGGCTTCTTTAAGGAAGGGCTTGGAGTCTGTGTCCCCTAAGCCAGTTGAAACTAGAACATAAATTAAAAAGTTGAAGAAAGACACATTCACATCTAGGTAAACATTAACCTACCAACAAAAATCTGAGATGCCCGGCACCCACAATTAAAAGATGCTTTTCCTTAAGTAAAGGGGTGTCCGGCTGGCTCAGTTGGAGGAGCATGTGACTTTTGATCTTGGGGTCATGAGTTTGAGCCCCACATTGGGTATCTCTCTCAAAAATAAACAATTTTAAAAAATTAATAAAAACAAAAACAAATATACAAAATGCGTGCTGTGAGAAAAGGGAACGAGTTGTCTGCAATTTCAAAAATATAGGGACCAGGGCACCTAGGTGGCTCAGCCAGTTGAGCATCTGACTCTTGATTTCGGCTCTGGTCATGATCTCAGGGTTGTAGGATCAAGCCCCGCATTTGGCTCTGTGCTGAGGGTGGAATCTGCTTAAGATTCCCTCTCTCTCCCCCTGCTCCTTATCCCTTGTTCATGCTCTATTTCTAAAAATAAAAAAATATATAAATACAGGACAGAACAGTAAGCACTCAAATATCAAGGTGAGGTTCTTTTAATAAACAATTAAGGATGAAATTAAAATGGTATGTTATAAATTATCTGTCAAAATATACTTGTAATATAATTTTTCATTTTTTTGTTTTAAAATGAATAGCTTCAAAAAGTTTAATCTTCCAGATAGCTAAATATACCACTATAAATACCAGAACTTTAATTTGATTTCTTTGATAAAATCTAAGATGTTGTGCTTTCATGCCTTCTTAAATAAGACATTGAGAACATAATTTGTCCATTCTGTTGACGTTTAAAAGTCATTGTTATAGGGGCGCCTGGGTGGCGCAGTCGGTTAAGCGTCCGACTTCAGCCAGGTCACGATCTCGCGGTCCGTGAGTTCGAGCCCCGCGTCGGGCTCTGGGCTGATGGCTCGGAGCCTGGAGCCTGCTTCCGATTCTGTGTCTCCCTCTCTCTCTGCCCCTCCCCCGTTCATGCTCTGTCTCTCTCTGTCCCAAAAATAATAAAAATAAACGTTGAAAAAAAAAATTTGAAAAAAAAAAGAAAAAAAAAGTCATTGTTATAAATTATTTTATTGCTGACTATAATTACAGAGTAATCACATAAGGGCTGAGAGAATATATAGGGCTTAGTGACACTGTCCTGAATCAGAGATTGGCAAATTAAGGACATTTGGTCAAATCTGGCCCTCGGCCTCTCTCTAGATGACACTCGAGCTAAGAATTATTTTTACATTTTTAAAAGTTTGTAAAAAAAAAAAATTAAAATGAGAATATGTGATAAAGAATACCTAAAATATTTACTATCTGACCCGCTACAGAAAAAGTTTGTCAACCCCTGCCCAAAGTGATCCCCACCTCGTGGGCCTGGTTAAGTTATCTTGTCCTCTTTCTCTCCTCTATCTGAGGGACCAGAGGCTCTGGAGTGAGAACTGTGTTTGAGTCCCAGATTAATCACATGCTACGTGTATGCCTTTGGGCACTATTCAACCTCTGTGCCTTTGTTCAATCATCTGCAAAATGGGAATAAACATAACTTCACAAGACTTTTAGAGGAATGAATGAGGTACAATGGTAGACATTCAATAAATGAAAGCTATTCTAATTGTGCTTCATTGTACAAAGACTACCTCCAAACGGAGGACAGACAACTCTGTAAATGAACTAAAAAGGCAGAATTCGATAAACTTGGTTTTAAATTTTCTTGAAAATGTCCTTCTTCTAGATAAATTCACACATCATGAACTTTCTTTAACCTTAATATTAAACATTCTCAGTTCTTAAGGAGTAAATTTGACTAAAAGCTAAAGACATACAAAATAATAGCCATGACAGTCAAGCAACTTCTGAATTCAGAAACATAGTGATTAAGTCACTACTGGAAAGCCAGAATCTATTTTTGATTCACTTGGATCACCTTTATTTCATTATACATTTTATAACATCAAAGCAAAACATGGCATAATTTCAGGCACTGAATCATCATCAAACTGAGCTGCAATTAAGGATAAGAACATCATTAAGTTTTAGGTAATGCTTGCAATTGTAAGTAAGCAGTGCCTTTCTATTCTTCTGGAAAATGTCATTTAGGAGGCTTCAACAATTCTCCTAAACCCAGACTGTAAGTGCCATGCTTGAATTTTTTTTGGATGCGTGCCCAACAATAAATGATCCACAATGATCTGAGGACAGCACTCCCATCCAAGAACTTAATCAGATTAATGATGTATTTGTTTTATAAAAATGAAGTACATTAAGCCTGAGAATACCTAATTTACATACTAAATGGTTGCTAGGGACCGAAAATACTAGTGGTTTTTACAAAACTGAGGTTACAAAATTGTCTATTGTCTTGAAATCTGTTAGTAAATAGCAGTGAAATGCAAAATAATAAACAAATGTTAATGAGTAGTATTTATGTATGTAAATTCATGAGATGGTGTACAGTTGTTCAAAGGGACCTAACGATGTTCATATTCCAAAACATACGCGATGCCAACGCGATGCCATTATATGAAGTCGGAAAGAACAACAAACTTACTTAGGATGTTTTCTAATTGGTTTGACTTCAAATTGTGATTAACATTCTACTCTAATTTTTTCATTTGGGGTCCTAGTTTAATATATGCAAACGTAAACAGTAAATTAGCAGTCTAGGTTTCTGCCATTTTTGTCGGAAGCCTATTAGCAACCTTTCTCTAAGAAGGGGAGGAGAGCTTTCACAAAACAGCTGAATTTTATCAAATCTTTAAAGGTGTATTAAAGGCAGGCGCCTGGGTGGCCCAGTCCATTGAGCATCTGATTCTTGATTTCAGCTCAGGTCATGTTCCCAGGGTCATAGGATGAAGCCCTATGTCAGGCTTCATGCTGAGTGGGGAGACTGCTTAAGATTCTCTCTTTCTCCCTCTGCCCCATTTTCACACTGTGTCTCTCTATCTATTAAAAAAAAAAAGAAAGAAAGAAAGAAAGAAAAAAAAGGTTCATTAACAGCATTTCTGGATGTCCCGTAATGGATTCTCTCCCTCCCTCCCCCCCCCCTCTCTCTCTCTCTCTGTCACACACACACACACACACACACACACACACACACACACACACACACAACTTCATTCAATAAACTTGTGTTTACTGAGCTTAGGAGGCAAAATAAGACAAAGCCACTGCCCTGTCTGCTGAACAGATAGCAGGTAAACAGCTAATTATAATGTAACAGGACAAGTACTACAATTAAGGTACAAACAGAGAGCTCTGGGCACAAAAAGAAGCCAGCCACCAACTCTGCTAGGGCACAAGGGATACGCCACACACACAAGTAACAGTTCCCAGTTCCTGTCACCTGAGAGGACAGAACAACTCCTGCAGGAAACAGTGAGAGTAGAGAATGGGGCAGAGGTGAAGTCCACGGGCCTGTATCTACACATTCCTCCACTTAAAAAAAAAAAAACCAAAACTCAAATTTCATTTAAATCATGTGAGACTTGGGGCACCTGGGTGGCTGCATCAGTTAAGTGTCCGACTTCAGCTCAGGTCATGGTCTCATGGTTCATGAATTCCAGCCCCGCATCAGGTTCTGTGCTGACAGCTCAGGGCCTGGAGCCTGCTTCAGATTCTGTGTCTCCCTCTCTCTCTCTGCCCCTCCCCACTCATGCCCTATCTGTCTGTCTGTCTGTCTCTCTCTCTCTCTCTCTCTCAAAAATAAATAAAAACCTTAAAGAAAATGAAAAAATCATGCAAGACTTACAAAACGAGGCTACATTGAATTAACTATTTTTTATTAGAAGCTTAATGTTAATAACTTACATTTGTATTCAGTAAATACTAGATAAGGAAAGACAGGGGGTAAAAAGCAAAAACTGAATTATAAAAACACCTGAATGAAAACTTGATTAAACACGGAACTTCAAATTTAAACAATTAGTTGAATCCAGGGCTCCTGAGTGGCTCAGTTGGTTAAGTGTCCAACTTTTT